AAGTGGGAAGGGCTATTTAATTAATGACAGGGGTAGTTTGGGTATTATGGAAAATTACGAAGTATACAAACCGGATTTACAATCAGTACAAACCATACAAACATACGAACAGTACAAACTAGAGCGACAAAACATACAAACATTACAAACGTATGAACTGTACAAACAATACAAACTAGACCGACAAACAATACAAACCATACAAAAAGAAAAAACAACCGGGTTGACTTTTGAGGCTCCATCCCTATATAGAGGGGCTCCTTCCCAAAGTCAACCCGGGTGTTTTTTAGACATACAAACAGTACGAACATGGTGGACAAAAATGACAAACTAGACCGACAATCCATACGAACGGGAAAAAACACCCGGGTTGACTTTGGAGGCTCCATCCCTATATAGAGGGGCTCCTTCCCAAAGTCAACCCGGGTGTTTTTTAGACATAAAAAACATTACGAACATGGTGCACAAAAATGACAAAGTTTACAAACATGGTTAACAAAAATAACAAAGTTTACAAACATTACAAAAAAAACCGACAAACATTACAAAATATGTCAACAAACATCACAAAATTAGCACTGTCGCCGGGAAAATTCTTCTCCGGCGACGATGTTCGCCGGAAAAAATTTTCCGACCAAAAAATATCTCTCTCTCTCTCCTCTCTCCTCTCTCTCTCTCTCTCTCGTTGCACCTGGTGAAAAGAATCCCATAACTCTCTCTGGTGGGAACTTGGGGAATAAATGCCCATAATAAAAAGCGACGCACTCCCTGGTCGGCAATGGCGGATCCCGGCGGGAGAAAAAAACGAGACGGACGGCGTCGGCAATGGCGGATCTCGGCGGGGAAAAAAAACGAGACGGACGGCAGGAGAGATGAGCCGGAAAAAAATATTTAATAATTGAAAATAAAAATAATCATGAATTTACAATTTTGCCCTTCACTAAAATGGATTAATTGTAACCATTAGATTTTAATGAGATGGAAGGGCTGAGATTTACTTAGTCATGTGACTAAGGGATCCCCCCTTAGTCACTTGATCTTAGCCCTTCAAGGTTTGAACCCGAAGTATGATGACTGTTTTCGTTTTTATATTTCATCAGGTCAATGTTTTGAGATTAAAGATAAAAATTCAAATAGAATCACAGTGAATTTGTAAAAATTTATAAATCAAATTAAATTTGTATCATAAATTACAAGTTTAATTTACACAATAATTTTTTTTAATTAAACATCGACATTTATATTGTAATATTTATAAATGGAATATGGATTTTATAAGGAAAAGAAAAGTTGAAGAAATAATTGCGTGCGGATAATCCCACACCACATGTCGGTTGTATTTGTATAAGACTACAAAGTTCCATTCCAAAACGCAACGGGCTAGCGATAAAGAAACAAAACAGAAGGCCAGTAACCAAAACAAAACAGCAGACCTCACCATAGGAACGGTGGGGGCGCGACCTCTCTATAACAACTCATCAGGAGAGAGAGAGAGCAGGAGACTGTTCCATTCAAACATAAAAAATAAGAAAGCACTCATAAATAATAAATCGCCTTAAAAATAGGGAGAAAGCCAGGAAAATTGATTTATTTAAAGCAAGTAGAAAGTGAAAGAAAAATGAATGAAAAAGCTGAAATTGATTCAAGTTTGAGATCCGCATTCTGAACATCCCGAAGAAGAAGAGGAACGGCGAGCCAACCAAACAGCGCTCTCTCTCTCTAGAGGAAGAGTACAACACCCGGCCGAGTAACCGGAGCTTCCACAGCTCCACCGTGGTGGCGGCGTATGATAATAACTATACAGCAAGTTTCGGAGGGCTGAAATCCATCTCCCACCGCCCGTTCTACCCCCGTTTCCCCCCACGTGGATGGGCCAGTCAAGTTCCACGGCTGCCGTCGCGAGCCGCCGGGACACCAACCTCAGCCACCGCTTCAAGTTCAAATCCTCCTTCTCCGCCTCGTCGCCGATTAAAGGCGGCGGCGACAACAACGCCGAAGATTTCATGGTCTTCGAGGCGCCTGATTACATCTCGGATCTGCCGGATGAGTGCTTGGCCGTCGTTTTCCAATCGCTGAGCTCCGCCGACAGGAAACGATGTTCCCTGGTCTGCAGCCGGTGGCTCATGATCGAAGGCCAGAGCCGCCACCGCCTCTCCCTCAACGCGCAGGCCGATCTCCTCCACTCGGTGCCGACGCTGTTCACTCGCTTCGATTCCGTCACCAAGCTCGCCCTGAAATGCGAGCGCAGATCCACGAGCATCGGCGACGAGGCCCTCGCGATGATCTCGTTCCGATGCAGGAACCTCACGCGCCTCAAGCTCCGCTCGTGCCGCGAGGTCACCGACGCCGGGATGGAGGCCTTCGCCAAGAACTGCAGGTCGCTGAAGAAGCTCTCCTGCGGATCTTGCAACTTCGGCGCCAAAGGTATGAACGCCATCCTTAACAACTGTGCATCTCTGGAAGAACTGTCCGTGAAGCGGCTCCGCGGAATCACCGACGGAGCCGCGGCGGAGCCGATTGGTCCCGGTCTAGCCGCGTCTTCCCTCAAAACGATTTGCTTAAAGGAGCTTTACAACGGACAGTGTTTCGGCCCGCTCATAATCGGGTCAAAGAATCTCAGAACCTTGAAGCTTTTCAGATGCTCTGGGGATTGGGATAAGGTTCTGCGGGTGATTCCCGATCGGGTTTCCGCGCTGGTCGAGATCCATCTCGAGAGGTTGCAGGTTAGTGATGCTGGCCTGACGGCATTATCTACTTGCCTCAGTTTGGAAATCCTGCACCTGGTTAAAACTCCGGAGTGCACGAATTTCGGCTTGACATTGGTTGCAGAGCAGTGCAAGCTGTTGAGGAAGCTTCACATTGATGGATGGAAGGCCAACCATATCGGCGACGATGGACTGATAGCAGTTGCCAAGCACTGCCCTAACCTGCAAGAATTGGTTCTCATTGGAGTCAATCCAACCAAGATCAGCCTAGAAACCCTAGCTTCCAACTGTCCGAACCTGGAGCGACTGGCCTTGTGTGGAAGCGATACTGTTGGCGATGCAGAGATCTCTTGCATTGCTGCAAAATGCGTAGCACTGAAGAAGCTCTGCATCAAGAGCTGCCTTGTGTCGGACGAAGGGATGAGAGCCCTCGCAACTGGTTGCCCCAATTTGGTGAAAGTGAAGGTGAAGAAGTGTAGAGGGGTGACTTGTGATGGTGCAGAATGGTTGAGAGCGAGTAGAGAATCGCTTGCGGTGAATTTGGACAGTGGTGAAGTGGAGCATCTAGATGCAAATGCTAGCGACGGTGGTGGTGGTGGGGTGCAGGATAATGGGGCTGAGAATCCTCCTCAGGCAGGGCTGAATCAAATGCCGCCTGTAGCGCCTTCGATTGCTGGTGGATCGAGGAGTACTGCGCGTTCAACTTCATTCAAAGCGAGGTTAGGGCTATTGAGTGGGAGGGGTATAGTGGCTTGCACTTTGAGAAGATGGTCTAGTGGCAATGGTGCGTCTCAAAGCTAATACGATGTCTCCTGAGACGAAAGTTTCGGAACATCACGAGCGAGCGGGGCTTATTAAAACTGTTGACATGCTTCCGCTTTGTTTTACATTCGTTTTTGTTCTTGTATGTTGTATCGTATCATCTGATTCTATCTTTTCTTTTCGGTGTATGTAAGCTGAAACTGGAAACTGCGTGGCTGTTATATTGCATTCCTAATCGAATCTTAAATTTACTGTCAAAGGATGATGCAAGCTAATAGATGATTACAGTTCATATGAACTTTGATGTTTGCTTATGCAGTAGGCTTTTTAAGGTTAGAAATTGCTCTGGTTATGATTTATTTACCCTAATTAATCATGAGGTAATCCTCCCCAGTTATTAATGACTTCTTCATGTCCTTTAATCATCTGCTTGAATCGGCCCGCTTTGGGAGTTGAGACTTGAGACCCTAGATGGAAGCGTGAGGGAGAAGTTTTGGTCGTGTAAAGTGAAAGAAAGAAAGTAGGGATCTTTTTCCTGCGGCTTTTGTATAGTAAAAGTCAGTGAGGCAGACTCTTGTTTACGTGTTGAAGAGAATAATAGTGTTCTCCAAGTTGAATGTCTTTTGCGTATTAAGCACGTGCTTATGCCTCTTTAGTCGTTCGATCGAGAGTTGGGTAACTGTGTACAGAGAATACGATTGTAGCACAACCGCTCGTGTTTTCGAGCGTATTGCGTGCAGTATGATTGTAAAGCGGACAAGTTCGGCTTGTGGCAGTTGGAGAGGCGCGATTAGCATTTTAGACAGAAGCTTATGAGCGTTAGGTTTAGGTACACCTGCTGAGGCTTTTTAACCTCTAGTTAGGCTGATTGCCCCTATCAATATGACACATTCAAATTTGTAATGTAGGATTAGGACAAGATATAGTCGCTATTTGAGAACATTCTTGCTGTCTAAAGTCCCCCTTTTACACTTGTATTTTGGTTGGGAAAAGTTTGATCGGTTGATTCTTATAATTGGACCATTTCTTATCTACTTTGTTTCTACACAAGTGTGCAAGCCCGTAGGAGTCTTTTGGACGGTGGATGTGATGTTCAAATTCGTCGAAGAATGTCTTGCTCGATTGGAGCAAAGAATGCGTCAAGTCAACTCCATGGATTCAAAATTCATCACTTTTCAGCACCACAATCCACCGCTTTTCAATTTCATCGATTAGAACAAATCATAAAGAAATCCATCACTTTTCTATTGCCGAATTTTCAATGAGCCCTTCAGTTTTCACCTCGATGTCCAAACTCCAAACAGAAACCAGAGTGTCGAGGAAGAAAAGGAAGCCGTCCAACAGAAAGCTCGTGTCACGGTGTAGCTTTTCGTCCCACCGGCCTCTTCCATGCTTTCAAACAACTATAAAGAAAAAGCGAGCATGAAGCTGACTGTAATGAAATTTTCGTCCCTTTTGCGAGGCAAAGCAAAGGCCAGCCTCAAGCGTCCATGACATGGCGAAAAGGACCATGAAGAAGAAAGAAGAGAGTTTCTACTGATAATCTGTTAAACCCTTTTGTTGCTACAACATGAAATTGCCAAATAAATTCAACCATAACTGTGAAGATTTTCCACTATGATTTCTGCTGACATGTATTCGTATAGAAACCGCCCTTCTCAATTTCACCAAATCACAACTGCATTACCCTGCATCAAAGAACTTCTCTACTGCTGTTTCTTCTCTCTTTTCGGTTGTGGCTTTTTGTACATGAGTATTTGACTCAGGATAGTTCCATTCATCAGCACGCCAAGCGCAGAGCCCGTAACAACTGGTACATAAGAGTTGAAGGAAAAATTCAGAACCAATGAAGCGGAAACTTCCTTGGACAGAGTGAAGGAATGAATTAAAACAGTGTTCGAATTAGAAGGGGATGTTTTGAAATGATACCGCTCATTGGTGCTTTTTCCTGCAGGCTGGTGAATACTCTCACTGCAAAAAAACAACCAAAAAAGAGAACAGTGAAACAAGATAATCCAACATCACAGCCATTAATAGCCAATATACTTTCACAAGGCGACTCGCTCACCCATAGAGCCGGCAAAGTTCATGAAAAAGGTTAGGAAGCTCAGCTCCCCAGTGCTTTTGTTCTGGTAAATAACACAGAGACAGCAAAATGGTCATATTCACAAGTGGAGCTCATAATTGCATTTGCAGGCACATGAAGAGGGTCCAGTTCCTTTCCAAACTATAGTAGCAACTTACAGAAAAGTTGGCCCATATTTGTGGAATTCTTGCACAGAGGAAAATAGCATGCTGCGACGCCTGCAATGATATATTACACACCATGTAAAGTTTGAGCGTCCTAAACAATAACAGACATGCTTATTGAGCAATTTTTCTTCTTCTTCTTAATAAACTATTGAGCATTTTCTATGCATATGGTTGCAGATTATTTACCCAGGAAAAATATAAAATCAAAAGATGCAATGGATGCATAAAACCATGTATGTCAAATTGGGAGAAGCGCGGATATAGAGACTTACATATAGAGCTTCGAAAAGCATGGGATCAATTCGACCAGCTAAAATAGTTGGTGCTATCGCAGAAAATCTGAATCATTATAGTAAGGTTGAAATGCGGACAGCGGACAGCAGAATTGAAACAGGTATGCAACTTTAGAGGTGAGATTCTAAAAAAAGGATACATTAATGCCTTGATCCATGTCGTTGCCCCAACAGGTTGTGAAAAGTAGTAGATAACAGCAACTAAGACTATCGCTGCAATACATAAGTAGAGCGCATTATAAGACAGATGGGCAATATTCAAACTGTTCAAGGCAGTAAAACAAACTGAAAGATGGACAGGGCATTCATAGACAGTTGGGCAAAGAGCACAACATTCGGTTAGCAAAGACTGGTTACCTTGGATCAAGAGAAACACATATTCCCCATAAGCTGAAAATGGCAAGCCTTTATGAAGACAATATGCAAGAGCAATCGTGTATCCAATCGCTTCTAACTCGAAGGCAACAACACTCAGCCCTCTCACACTTTTGTGCTTCAAGATGATCAATATCTAGCGAGCCATAAAAAGGTATCATAGAACCAAAAAGACAACATAAAAAATCACAGGCAATGCCTACAAAGCAGCGGGAGATAAACCATAGCAGGTTAAAGTTAGACAATTTGGTTCTCAGTTCTCACAGCTTGAAGTCATCCATTGGGAGATAATTAATACCAAAGCTTAAGAGTTTAACACCTAAGGGATAAGAACAATCACAAGCATTGCCACACATAAGCAGGTAAGCCTGAGAAGCTTCTACAACAGAGCAACTACTATAAGTCCAAGAAGGCAAATGAAAACCTAAGCTAACAAAAATTCGAGTAAAGAACTACCCCAATTGTAGAACATACACAAATTGGATCACCAAAGCTCAAATTCTACTTCACCTATGAATCTATGATAGAATTACATACGGCCTGATGCCGCAGCTCATTATTTCAATCCCAAGATCGAATCTTTGCAGCATCCCAGCGGAGATTCATGGAACCCATCTATCCAAAGTAACAAATTACTTGCTTCTCCCGCTTAATGATTGAGAAGAAGATGCATGTAGACAAGTTGGAGATCAGGGGATGGAGATTCCACCTGAGGGAGTTTGACAGTAGTGGAGGCAGCGACGATGGCGTAGCCGAGGAGCTTGGAGATGAGAGGAAGCAAGCAGTCCTTCTCAGGGAACTGGCCGTGGCGGAGAGATCCAATTGCGCAACCAAAATCAATGCCTAGAAACGCCATGGTTTCGTCCTTGCTCTGGTCGAGCGAGGTTCTGGAAGAGAGTTTGGTATTTTTAGGGATCTAACTGTATCTACTAAACCGGAACGGACCGATGCAGATCGTTGGAAAGTTTGAAGGAAGGTCTTTGACTCTTTGTAGTTTGGACTCGCCTACTCAATTTATTTTCTTTCCTTTCTAGAAACATATTAAAATTGGAATTTCCTTATTTATTTATGCAAAATTCATATTAATCCATATAATATATGATGGTTTGTATATTTTGCTAAAATGTTTATAGCCCAATTTGTAAGCACGTACTCAAAGGTCTGTTCAATTAACAACATATGTTGAGTAATCTGTCATTATTGGATGAACAGTGCCAATTTAGTAAAAATAAAATGTCATTGCTTTCGTCAACACTAACTCATAAATTTACAATTGGGTGTCCCCAATCCCATTGTGAACACCATAACAGGGTGGATCACATCCATCCTCTTCACATTTAATGCTACAGTTGAACATCCTATAAAATATCTAAATGGAATATAAAAAATGACAAAATGATGAACAATTGAGTTCTATGTTATCTCCTCCACCAGACAATGTCAGATATAGTATTAGTAACCTTCTTAATCTCCACAAGCCACATCACATTGCTCTTATATGCCTTAATGCTGAAGCAATTTCTGATAACAAAGGCAATATTACACAGTTCCGACAAGAGTACCTTACAGAAACGATGAAACGAAGCTCAGTGAACTAAAAGCAGAAAGCTGTAATTTGATTGATTTAGAGAAATTACAGAGAGTAGAGTACCATTTGACTAAAATAGTAATCCTCAATCCCACAGGCATTTACACATCGACAAGAAGATAATTTATCTGGAAGCCTGATTAGTATATCTCCTGCTAAACCAAATCCCAGCCATTAACATCAACCACTACAGAGATTGCCGTTTATTTACATAAACCAGTGTATCTGAATCAAACCCCCCACCCCCCTCTTCTTCCCCTAAGTTTTTTTGTTCTCCAGATCACTGAAATTCAAATGCGAAGCAGAACAAGAAGAAACCAAGTTTCCTCCACTGTTCCACCATTAAATTAGTGGAATGCTCAATCAAACTTCCAGCTTTTAAGCATTGCTCTTCCTGCCAAGAATAGCGTTGAGAGGAAACCGAGGCTTGGCCCTGTTGCTCTTCATCGCCTTCACCGCCAATGGGTTGTTTGCACTCTGTCCAATCCACAAAAGAAAAGAAAAAAACACTCATTATAAGAAAGAAAACAAGTTGTAAAAGAACATGGAGCTTGGAGTTATGAGCATTTTTCTTACCATCATGCAGGTGCCCTGGTTCACATTGCAGACAGGGTACTCATGCGGGCAGCAGCTGTAGTGATCCGCGCAACAGGTGGCGCCGTCGAGAGGGCAGCATCCCCATTCGAAGCAGTACTTGCCGAACTCGAAGATGCAGCAGCAGGTCTCACTGGCGGGGCAGGAGTAGTAGTCGTCGCAGACGCTGGGAGGGGTGACCGGAGTCGGCGGCGAAGGGCCGGGGTTCGGTGGGTTCTGGCCGTCCTTGACAGGGTAAGAAGGCTCCATCGCAATGCCGCAGAGGCCGGTCTTGGCGGCGATGTTCCTCTCCATCCTCAGGTAGCCGCTCTCCCCCCAGCTTTTGCCCCATGAGTTTCTGACGATCCAGTAGTCCTTCCCGCCTTCGCTTCCGTATCCCACCACTCCAACTCCGTGGTCCAGTTGGGTTCCGCATGGCCCGCTGAATATTCCCTGCGAGGGTAATTAAAACAGAGTTCGTAAACTGAACTCCCTTTCTTGCATCCTGTCTTGCAATCTGAACATTGTCTTACCGAAGTGTAGAGCTGGAAGCCTCTGCCACCAGCTTCGATGGCGACAGCAATGGGCTGGTTTGCAGCAGCCTTCTGCAATGCGGCCTCGTCGTTGATCGGAACATCCTCGTAGTTGTTGATCGTAACCACCTTAGCATTGTTTTTCTGCGGACATTAACAGGGGGGGAAAAATGTGAGTCAAGGTGTCACAAATGACTAGGCATCATCACTGCTGTAGAACACAGAGAAGGGTAGTAGTGTAGTACCCTGTAAGAGTCGCATCTGCCGTCGTATCCCGTGTAAGGGTAGTCGAGATCGGTGTCGATGCCGCCGTTCTTGATGATGAACTCGAATGCATAGTCCATCAGGCCTCCGTTGCATCCTTCGTTGTAGGAAGTGTCGCAGTCCACCAGCTCTTGCTCGGAGAGGGTGATGAGTTCCCCTGTTACAATCTGGTTGATCCCTTCGACGGAGGAAACCGTGGAGAACGCCCAGCAGCTCCCTGTTTCACCATTTCCATACCCCAATCAATCTCTGAATTAATCAATAGATAAAATCCAAGTCATAGCCATATAATGAGCTATCAAGTGATATTACAGTCGGATTATGCTAATTGAGATTTCGGTGGGATTAATTTACCAAAAAAGGGGTGCGATTAGACAAAAAAGGACAGCTACAGGTGGGGATATTTTGGCCGAAAGTGGGACCCGCTCACCGGACTTTTTGGGAATATTGATTTATAATAAAAATAATCCTTTTCAACGATTGGGCCACAAGCCCACAACTCAACAGCACAATAATTTCGAATCTGGATAATAAATTAACAAATTATATATATCTTATCCCGGATTCCGTGGACTCCGATTGATACACGCCACTTTGCCGGACTCGCCGGCGGGCAGGCCGGCCAACCCCACTGACGACCGACACTCTGCTCTCCTTCCGATCAAACTCGGTAACTAACTGAGTCGCTCAGCTCTAATCGGACTTCAAAAGTAAGTCCCAAAGCGGAAATTTCACAAGAATGAGATTCGATCTAAATTCCAGAACTAATTAATTACTCAATACGATATTCTGACCTAAACGAACTTAAGATCGATTGTCCAATTTAGTTCAAATCGGTCTAGATAAGAAGAAATCGACGGGGATTATTTCAAGCAAAATAGCAAAGAAAAGCTTGGATCGGAAACCTCCGACTTACCGCAGCCGCCTTGGTCCTTGACTTCGGCGACGGCGCCTTTCGTCCTCCAATCGATTGAATCAGGGAGTGACTCCCCGACGCGCGGCGCGTACCGATCGGAAGGCCTCGACTCGCGCAGCGGCTTCCCCTGACCTGGACGGACTCCGAGGTACTGGGAGCGGTACTCGTCGTTGGTGAGATCGGCGAACTTGTTGAGTCCGACGGTGTAGGTGTGGTTCAAGGAGTTGTGGCCGTCGATGAAACGGAGGTTGTCCTTGAAGATCTGGAACCGCTTCTCCTTCTCTCCTCCGAGGGCGTTGCTGTAGGCCTTGGCGTGCTTGGCCAGCCACTCCTCGTAGATCGTCATCACCTCGTCGTCGGTCCTCCAGCTGGAGGCGGAGCTTGCGTCGGGGTGGGATTGGTCGTAGGAGACTATGGACATGTCCAAGGCGGATGAGAGGGTGAAGGCGAAGCAGAGGAGGAGTAACGTCGCCGACGAAGAATTAAGAGATCCCATGGCCCTTTTTTTCCCCCTTCCTTTCTAGTTTTGGTAGTTTGGGTGGAGATGAACTTGGAGGCGAGGACCGGAGGATAGTAGTACCGGGGCTGAGGGCAGTGGGATTTTAAAGGAAAGGAGATGGGTGAGTAGTAAGTCGGCTGAGAACTAAGAACTGAGAACTTTTTTTTTAATCTTATTTTCTTTTTTAATTGATTTTTAGTGAATATAGCGTCTTATTTTCTTTTTTAATACGGGTGATATACCTTTTACTTTTTGTGATAAAGTACTATTTAAAGAATTAGAACGTGAGACATTAGAGGTGACAATTAGGATCCAAATCCATGAATCTAATTCAATCCATCCACCAAATTATCCACATAATCCAATCCATTTGATCCAAATCCAATTGGATTGGTGGATTCACCATGGATTCAAATGACAAATTATGATTTGATACCTATATTTTTTATATTTTACATTTTGATACCTAAAATTTATATTTTTATACGAAAAATATCATTGGAAAATTACATTTTGGTACCTAAAATTTTTCATTATGACATTTTAGTAACAAAACTTTTCAAATTTTATATTTTGGACCAAGCCTTTGATGTCATTTGGATTCATGGATCAATCCACCAATCCATTGAATCCAATCCATGAATCCACCAATCCATTGGATCCATGGATCCACCAATCCAATTGCCACCTCTATGAGACATCCATGTTCTATGCTCTTGGTATTAACACTAGGCTGAGCTCTTGTTCGTATAACGCCTTATTTAATTAATTTTCTGATTTATAAGAATGCTCAAGTGTCATTTTGATTTAAAAAATCCTATGATCAGTCCAATCAAAAATATCAGAACTAGCCAACAGTAAGCAGTTTTATCAATACTGAGGGGTCGTTTGGATGGAACATTCTCAAAATGAGGCAATTTGGGACAAAAGTATCATTTTAGAAAATGAGTTAATTGTATGAGGAAATGTTTACATAATTGTCTAGTTTGGCTTGTGATTTGGCATGAGACAATTGTGATGATGCATTTTATGAAAATACATATTTGCCCTCATACTTTTTCCCTTCTCCATCTTGGGAAAAGGAAGAAAGAAAGAAAAAAATAGTAAATAAAGGGGTTAGATTGGGAAAAGTGACCCACAAAATGGAGTAATGTAGATTACCTCCCTCCCACCCAAGTAATTGTGATTGACCCATAATGAAGCAATTTCAATTATCTCATGTCCAATAGCCTCATTCCTACTTTTTGGAGCCAAATGGGATAATTTGGTCCAATTGTCTCATTTTGAGTCAATTGGAGCACATTGACTCATCACTTTCATCCATCCAAACGACCCCTGAATAGTTACCATTTAGAAGAGGCGTAAATGAGCTTGGATTTGGAGCGTTAGATAGGAGTGGAGTGGTAGCCGGTAGGAGGAAGTCAGCATGTGGATGACCTACAATTGGCGGAGAGAAGAGGAGAGACCAACCCCCCAGGAAAGAAGAAACCACGCGCTGGTTTAGGTTTAGAGTTTAGACTTTAGACTGGCTGAGGCACCGAGAGAGCGTGTAGCTGCCAAACTGGGTTACCTTCCCCACGCGCTGCCGTTGGGCCGGGAGCAGTATCGGCCCATCAA